AAAAAAAAAAAAAAAAAAATTAAGTATAGCCTGGCATGGGGGCACACATCTGTGATCCCAGTGCTTAAAAGTCTGAGGCAGGAGAATCACTGAATTCAAGGTCAGCAAGTGCTACCTACGCCAGTTCAAGGGTTACCTGGGCTACATAGCAAGAAAGAAAGGAAAAAAGATTAAGTGCATTTGTATGTTAGGAGGCAATTAACGTGTCATGGAGAAACCAGAGAAAAGTGAAGAGGCTGAAGAATTGAAGAGGGATGGTGCTTGTTTTAGGGACAATCTCCTTTAAACAGAGACCTGGAGGGAGCGAGCCATTGGGATCCCAGAGGAGAACTGCAGGCAGCCAGGGGAAAGGCCCTGTGGCTGAAGCAGGCTAGAGACACTGGTGCAGCACCTAGGAAGCCAGAGTGACCCGAGCGGACCGCCCAGGGGAAGGGGAGGACCAGGAGCCAGGCTGTGTGGGCCAAGGGCACACCGTAGGACTTTGACTTGTGATCTGACTCAGGTGGCTCTTTTGGAAGTGGAGAAAGCCTGAAAGCTGGAGCCCTGTAGAAATTAGGAGGGGCTGCCTCGAAGGGTCAATTGAGAAATGACTCAACGGTCCTCCGTGTGGGTCACAGCAGCGTTGGAGAAATTCGTGTATAGTCTTTTCATTTTGGTATGAGAAGTGAACTTTGGACCTCGTCCTTGCCTGGGGGGTGCTTATGACACTGTATCTCCCTGGCCCTGTAGATGTGTTTTAAAGGTGATCAGACAGGACAGCTCTTGGCCTGGGCTGTGGGTTTGCAGGAGGAAACAAAGCCCTCTCGAGTACCTGGTGTCTGCCCTGAGCCCTAGCAGTTGGTGGCAGCTGGTGGCAGGTGTCATTTCGTTAGGCGAAACTACCTTAGGTAATTTCTGCTTTGTTTTGGTGCTAGGGATGGAACCTAGCATTTTGTACAGACTAAACAGTGCTTTACCAGGGAGCTACACCTCCAGCCCAGTATTTGTTCACGCTTTAATTCTTAAAGGGGTGAAGAGAATCTGTTTTGGCTAAAGAACCCACTGGAGACGGCTGCTTCTGGTTCTTTCACAGTTCAGGTTCGTAGGTGTGTGGGTACTGCTTGCTCTCTTGCCTCTGATTGTTTCCCTTCGTTTCTCCTAACGCTCTGGCTCTTCTGTGTACCAGGGCATGAGCCTTCCCAAAGGGAGATAGCTTCCCGTAAGAGGAGACTAGAGGTCAGAGCAGGGCAGGGACCAGACAGGCCAGAGGGGCAGGGGGAAGGGGGTTGGGGGAGGCTGCAGCGGGAGAGGAGAGCATAGGGAGATGGGCATGGGTTAGCAGGGAAGGAAAACAGTGGGAAGGAAAGGAGCTACAAGCGAGGACATAAGGGACAGGAGTGTGGGGAGGCTGGCAGGGAAGGGGGTGAGGGGTAACAGGGGAGGCGGAGGCGGGACGGGTAAAAGGAGGAAGTGAGGGAGGGGGAGGGGAAGACCAAGGAGGAGCGAGGGGGAAGTGGTGGGGAGGGGAAGAGAGGGTCGAGGAGGGCGGGGCGCAGGGCTGACGCGGGGCGGCTTCCGGGCGGCCCCCCTGCCCGCGGCCCCACACTCCTCTTGCCTTCTAAGGTCCGAGGACGCGGCGCCGCCCCGCCCCGAGGCGCGGCCCGACCTACGCAGCGCCGCCGCGCGAGGCCCCAGCTCTCAGGGCCCGGGAAAGCCAGGATCTCGTAATTCCGGGGACACCAGAGCGTTCAGATTCAAAGTCGCCACCGGCACAGCCTGAGTTCAGAGGACCGAGATTGTCTACTCTGAGACTTCAAAAACCTCTCTACCCCATAATCCCATAACTCGGAGAAGCCGAAACTGGAGGATCCCAAATTCAAATCCTGCCAGTTTAGTGACTGAGGAGACCGTCTGGCACTGTTGCTCTGTGCGAAGGCCCTGGGGTCAACCCCCAGTACCGGAAAAAGCCCCTTTTTCCAAAGTCTGTCCCCTAACTCGGGAGTTCGGAGGCTCGGGGTACTCTCCCCGCCGCCTCACCCCAACAGCCTGACCGCCCCCGCCCGCGCTGGGCTTGCGTTCCGGCACATTCCGTCCTCACACGCCGCCCAGCCCGCCCGCCTTGGCCTCGTGGGGACGGAAACATCCCGTCCCCGCCCGCTCGAGCTGGGTCAAGGAACCGGCCGAGCACAACCCCCCCCCACGGCCAGAGAGCTGGCTCTCCCGGTTCCTACCGGGTGACCTCACCTGGCCCCGCCCACTCAGGTGAACGGCCGGGTCGGTGACGTCACTTCCTTCCAGGTAAGCTCCGCACGGGTTCACCTCACCCCAGCTTCTACAAGTTTCAAGTCCTCCCACCTTTCGTCCTGCCACTAGGCCTCCAAACACTCGGAATGCCAGTTTTACACGCATATTCTTTATTTAACAAATTTAAAAACAAAAATAATTTTCGAGGTAACAATATATATTAATATTATGGCAACTTATAATAATTATACCATTTTCTAATATTACAAAAAAAGAAAAAATTACAAGGGAAGCGGACGACCTAATATATATAAATACTATAAAATCTTATTAGAATAAATAAAGTCGTCATAAATAAGGGGCCCACTTTGGGGGCTGGGACTTGGCAATGGCTTTGGCTACTTGCTTGTGGAGGGAAATTTGAGCACCAGGATTCTCCCTCAGGGGAGGCTCCAATCACCAGACACTGGAAATGCAGGTCTAGAAAAAACTGGGGAGGGGGCCTACTATTCACAGCATGTAAGATTCCAGGAGACAGAACTGGACAGCGGAGAGAGCTCCCTGGCCCCTCAAACATGCTACATCGCAAGATCCCAGAAAACACTCTACCCAACACCGGGAACACTGACTGGACTCCGCACACCGGGGACCTGCCCCGGTGCGGCTTCAGGGGAGTGGGTTAATGCATTTTGGAATGTGGGGGGAGGGCCACGCCTATTACATTGGGAGTCCCCCCCTCGAGACCCGGCTGATCTGTACTAGGGGGTCACTTGTCACTCAGAAACAGAGATGCGATTGAAGATGGGGAGGCGCCGCGGGGCTGAAGGGGGCTGGGTTGTAAAGACCCCAGCTTCAAACACAGGTGAGTCGGACCCGCCCAGGCTGCTGCCGCTGCTGGCGTATTCGTCGGGATCGGATCCCAAGGAGTGTGCAGAGGGGCTGCGAGCCAGACCCCAGACGCCACCGGGGGTGGTCCTTCGGCAAGAAGGGCAGCAGGTTGGGGTGGGCTCCTTCCGGGCCACCGGGGCCCCAGGGGCAGCGGAGAAGGCGGAGGGGGAAAGGAGAAAGTCAACAGGTGGGGGTGGGGAGCTGGAGGGCGAGAAAGAACAGGAGGACAGGGAGGGGCCGGTCAGGCCCGGTGGAGGCGGGGAAGTGCGGCGACCCGAGGGCAGGCCCGAGAAGCTGAGGCTCTGGCGCAGCACGTGTGGCGGGTGGCCGGGGGCTGCCAAGTCCTCGCTGGGATTATGGATGAAGTGACAGCGGGAGCCATAGGGGCAGCGGCCCTGGAGGTAGAACTTGTGGCAGAGTTCCGTCTTGTACTTGGGGTGGCGATTGGCCTGGCGCAGCTCACCCAAGCCATGGGCGAACTGGCACTTGGCCCCGTAGCGGCAGCGCCCACTCTCGGAGAAGGTTCGACAGAGCTCCGTCTTGTAGCGAGAAGAGGTGGTCGAGGTCGCAGTAGGTGAGGTGGGTGAGGGCGACAGCTCTGGGCCAGCGCGGGGAGCCAGGGGCGCGAAGCCCGGCGGTGGGGGTACCCAGCCAGAGCTACGGCCCTCCACGAGGCTGGTGGAGCGGCCGGGCAGGCGGGGGGTGACCCCAGAGGAGCCAGAATCAGGCAAGTTCAGGCTCCAGATTCCCGAAGGCTCAGTTTCTCCGTGGTCGGGTGACAAGTCAGGGCTCAGCGACAGGAGGCTCTGTGGGAAAGGGTTTGGTAAGGACACCAGAAACGCCCGCCCCAGCTGCGGGGCACTTCAAGAGCCTGCCAGTCCGGTTTGTGGGCTCCAGACCTGAGCCCCACCCGATCTCTGAAACCTGTGGATTCTCCAGGGATCCGGATAAGAAAAGTCCTCAAGTTGATCCACCACTGAAGCCCATCCGCAGGAACCCAGAAATCCTAGCTTGCACGGACGCATCCTGAGGGGACCCTAACGCCAGAGCCCAAACTACTCCCCAATTTTGACTCTCAGGCCCTTCCCAGATACAACCGGTCACCGGGTTGTACGGTTTCCCAACAGACCCAAGCGCTCGGATCTCCAAGACTTCCCTCAGAAGCGGGGACATAAAGCTGCCTTCCCAAGCTCTGAGACTTCCACCCCAGAGACGCCTCCGCGCAAACCCGCGGCCTCAGCAACTTAGGGAGAGCCAGGTGTGGGGCCACTTCCGTCTCCAGAGAACCCTACTTTGAGAAAAGTACGCCAGCTTCCCTCCTCTCTCCAGGGGCCGCCCCACCCGGGTTCAGGCCAAGACGCTGGAGTTGCAGGCTCCATTTTCACCCTGAGAGGAATCAGGCTGGCCGGAGGAGGAGGAGGAGGAGGGTGGGCGTCTCAGGCAGGGGTTTAAGGCGCTAAAAGAACGAGGGTGTCAAACCAGGCTTACCTCGTAGATGGCAGAGAGGTCCATAGCGGCGCGAGGAGCCAGGAGCGGCAGGCTAAAACTCGGGGCGCTGAAGTCCTGCTGCTGCCAGCCCGGTGAAGCCGCTTCTTATAGGCCGGAGCCGGGGGCGGGGCCGGGGGCGGGGCCAGGGCGCTTCCCGGACGCGCGCTGCGGCCGAGCTCGCCAGGACTCCAGCCAGTCCCCTTCCGCCCGCCCCCGTCGAGGATGCGACCCGCCGGGTAGGGAGTGGGATGAGGGTATTTGCCCAGTTTTCAAGGTTGGACAAGTTGAGTGGCAGAGAGAACTGGGGCAAAGGTGGGGGCAGGACTGCAGGGGCAACTGACTAAGGAACAGACCGAGAGGGCGCGCGTGAGAGATAAACTAGAAGAAACGGAGATAAGGCGAGAGGCAGACGGAGAAATACAGAGACGCAGCGAGAGACCGACGCCGAGAGGGAGAGGCGGGTGGGAAGAGGCGGGGCGGGGACACAGGTGACAGTCCAAGAGACAATTTCTGAGGGAGAAGCTTGGCTGAAGAAAAGGAGGAAAAACTGAGAAACACCTGCACACACAAAACCGCAAGGGCAGAAGGCTACA